GAAAAATCAATTCCCTTGTTGAAATGATGCAGAAATTGGAAAAAGAAACTGCAAAGGTCATTTTTTATCTTCACTTCATCGCCACGTCATTTTCTCTTCACCCTCCTCTTGTCGCCTTTTGCTCCCCTTAGGCCATCCACATCAGTGCAATGTCATTAATCTTTCAATTGTGACACATTAGTTTTGCAATGACTACTCACATCAGTGCAATAACACTCATCTCTTTAAAAGTGGTCCCCACTGCCACATCAACAATTACTTTATATATATATATATATATATATATATATATATATAAACATAAATTTTATTATAATAATTAAAATAATATTTTTAAAATTAAATAACAAAATAATAATAAATATTAAATTTATTTTACTTTATTAATTATTTAAATACTAAGACGTTACAAAAAAACATGAATTATAAAACAAATATTATAATATTATTCCTCATTTTCTTCGTCTTCAAATCGATTCCAAATCTCTTCAATCAAATCAGCTTGTAGTTGGTGATTTATGGATCTGTTACGGACTTTTGCATGGCTCCGAAGATATATTTCATATGAAGGAAGACGACTTCGGGAAATTTCAGGCCTAACTATATTAAAATTAACATCATTATCTGTATAATCAAATTGACGAATATATGAATCACATTCATCTTCCACAATCATATTGTGCATAATAACACAAGCTCTCATTATTTCTCCAATTATTTCCTTGCACCACATACGCAATGGTCCACTAATAATAGCAAACCTTGCTTGTAATACGCCAAACGCTCTTTCAACATCTTTCCTAGCCGCCTCTTGTTTCTTTGCAAATAGTCCACGATGCAAACCCAAATTAATATTGAGATGGAAAAAATGAACATAATGAAAGAATACACAACAACTTTGAAAGACCACGATATGAAAAAAGATGGACGTCAAAAGAGTAAACTAGCGATGAAATTATTAGAAATGATCCATCAACATTGTCAAAACAACAAAGAAAGTTGTATGAAATGCAACTCGATATGTTATTAAACGGAAAATGATGTCAGTTTTATGCACTCTATCAATTACGTTTAAATAATTGTATTTCTTTTAATTTAATATGTTTATGATCATTTATATTTTAAATAGATAATAGTTATTAATATTTTTTAATTGAGAAAGGAGGTATATATCATTGTTTTAAAAATTGGTTTTTTAGTTGAACCGATCTGATGACCGGTTCCGGGTTCAATCGGTTCTACCACTGGTTCAACCCGTTCATGCATTTTTATGTATTTTATGGTCTACGTTTAAATTAAATAGTTGTATTCATTCTAATTTAATGTTTACAATTATATTTTTTAAATAAACTATAATTATTAATATTTGTTAAATAAATAATAATTAAATTTAATTGAAGTTAACATAAAACACAAATAAAATGAAATTTGGAAAACAAAATAAACAATGTTTATATATATTAATATGTTAATGTAATAAAAACATGATTAAGTGGAAAAGTATTAAAAGAGAAACATTATTTTAATATTAAATATGATTTGCAAGCCGTTTCTAATATTGAAAGGAGTTAGTCAACGTAGCATGTAAAATGAAGTATGTGGGGTTGCAAAAGATATTGACAGCCTGCGATGTGGATGCTCTTACACTTTTTAATATTCAAATATGCATAAATAATATATCTATATTAATATATTATACTTTATTTATAGGGAATTAAATACAATGAATTTTGATATATATATA